AAAGCTGCCTGGCGGAAAAGGACCTGGGGGTGTTGGTCGACAGCCGGCTGAACATGAGCCAGCAGTGTGCCCAGGTGGCCAAGAAGGCCAATGGCATCCTGGCCTGTATCAGAACTAGTGTGGCCAGCAGGAGCGGGGAAGTGATCGTGCCCCTGTACTTGGCACTGGTGAGGCCACACCTTGGATACTGTGTTCAGTTTTGGGCCACTCACTGCAGGAAAGACATTGAGGTGCTGGAGCGCGTCCAAAGAAGGGCAACGAAGCTGGTGAAGGGTCTGGAGCACAAGTCTTCTGAGGAGCTGCTGAGGGAACTGGGGTTGTTTAGCCTGGAGAAAAGGAGGCTGAGGGGAGACCCTATCACTCTCTACAACTACGTGAAAGGAGGCTGTAGCGAGGTGGGTGTCGGTCTCTTCTCCCAAGTAACAAGCTATAGGACAAGAGGAAATGGCCTCAAGTTGCACCAGGGGAGGTTTAGACTGGATATTAAGAAAAATTTCTTCACCGAAAGGGTTGTCAAGTGTTGGATCAGGCTGCCCAGGGAAGTGGCTGAGTCACCACCCCTGGAGGTATTTAGAAGACATGTAGATGTGGTGCTTAGGGACATAGTTTAGTGGTGGACTTGGCAATGCTAGGTTAATGGCTGGACTTGATGATCTTAAAGGTCTTTTCCAACCTAAACGATTCTATGATTCTACCTAATTTCAATGCTCACTGTGTGCACAGTAACTGATTAGTATGCGTTAGCTAAACCCTGAAGTTCTTCCCTTATGTAAACTCTTACTGGAGGTAACTGAAGCCAATATGGATCATGCTTCCACAAAATCTGAACGAAAACCACACGGTTTTATTTTCATGCTACTGTATGCTAACCTTCTAACAACCTCTATCACTATTGCTATAAAGAATAGCTTCCTATAAATACAGTCCTTGTATTCTACTTACCTGTATTTTTTAGCAAGGGTATCCCTTTCCGTTTTCTGTTTTGCAAGCATTTCATTCAAAGAATCTTGTATCTGAGACAGCCTTTGGATATACACATCTGTCCAATATTTTGATATAATCAAAATGATGATGGCAATAAGCAGTAGAAAATAATTGTAGTAATAAGATTTTTAATGTAGCAAATACACAAAGTATGAAAATATTATTACAGCAGTAATATTACAGTACCTTTACTGTCATGCATACTAATAGCTCTTTACAAGTAGAGTACTTTTAATGAAAGAAGAATTAAATACAGGTTTAACTTAAAAGGAAATAGCCCAAGTACTGGAAAATTTTGAAGTGCAAGTGCCTTGTCTAGGAAATTGCTGAGAGAACAGGACAGATTAAAGAACTGTCCTATGGATGATAAGCACTGAAACTTTTGAAGTTCTTTGTGTTGCAAGGAGCTACATAACATGGCAATTATACGTGAGGCTACCTGCAGAAGTTACGCAGTCTTAAGAAGCTGGCTAAAACCTTTACGTTTGAAGTATTACAAAATAGTTCAATAAGCTTAGACTGTTCCAAGTTACATATAATGGTAAAAACATATGTATCATAGTTTTACATAGTTTCAAATCCATATTATAAAATAAAATTATTGCCCCTTTTTGTTAGCTGAAATATCTAAAATAAGAAGAGCAATTATAAATTCTTCTTATGCCCTATCCCTTAGCCATATAACATAAGGGACAGCTCAGAAGTCACGACCAGCGGATACCACTGGGATAATATGCTAAACACGTATTCTAATTCCTGAAATTCTAAAACAGGAAATACGAGCTTTCCACAATCATGAAAAATGGAAAATCACAATCTTAAAAACGGCATTTATAAAATGTTTCCCCAAACCTGTTTCATAGTATCTACTACTATGTACTTACTTATTAAAATAGAAAAATATCAAAATATTGCTCTTATTGAGGCAGCTTAATAGGGAATTTGAATCTATAATTTACAGTAGGTTGCATTGCATGCAAATACCTTGAGGATTTTATTATATGTTATAAGTTTGTCAATGTAATTCTATGTTCTTGTTCAGTCTTGTGCCTCTTCACAAGTAATAACTATGATTTCGTTTAAGGGGTGCTAGATTATTAATGCTTTTGTCAGTAGTGGTAACAGATCACTATGTTAATTTCTCTGATACCCCTAAACAGGAAAAGTTTGATGGTTTATTTTGCTCATTTATGAAATTGCACTGATCTCTGTCTATAGGCTTCTGCCTATTGTATCATTTACCTGTTTGTCAGATGTTTTTCAAGAAAACGTATCAATTTTAATTAACAGTTCATACACCATAAATTTGAGTTAGAAGCTATAAATCTGTATAACTCCGTATTTCACATTTATTTTTAAAGGGATAAATTGACTATTTTAAATATAATTTGAAAGCTCCACCCCATATTCAGGAAAATAAATCTTAAAAAATCCCTTCCTTTCTGTCAGGAAGCAAAACTGTTTCATGGGCATGAGCAGCTCCAAAGTGAACAGCCCTGCCGAGATGGCAAGGGCAGCTGGGGAGAGAGACTTTGGTCAAAGGCGTTCCTACAGCAAGCTTTGCCACTTGAACAGTCATGGCACAGACACAATAGACTCAAACTGCTACATGGCACCAGCATTGTGATCTCCTAGGAAGTCAGTGTCACTTAGTAGGGTCTTGAGATTAATCTGAACTGAGATTTGATAGCCTAAGACAAACTACACCTCTGGGCACCAGCATGTCTGAAACTGCTCATCACCCACAGTGTCTGCCTCAAAGATTTCTCTTTTTTTCCTCATAAATTATTTTAGGCTCCTGAAAGTCCAGCCGCACTATAATGAAAATGCTGCATCTGTTACTTTACATACAGATATAGCTGTTCTTGATCATGGAGGGGCTCATGTACTTGTAACTGAATAATGTTGCCAACAGTGTGCATTCTTATCTAATGACACCTTTTTATAAGATTAGGTTGACTTGAAACACATGCCTCCAAGTGGCATGCTTCCCTTTTTTGTCATCATATTCATTCCTATGTAAGCTGGAAGTACTTCAGAAAGTGCATTTACCTAGAGGCTGTTATTAAAATCTTATTCTCTAAAGTTGTATTTTCCAGAGGAGATATCCAAATATATTACGTGCAATACTATTTTAAAAGCAATTATATTACCAAAGATATTTATCCCCCCCAAAAAAGTGAAACAACTTGAATTTATGTTTACCTGCATCTTTGGAAGTTCTCAGTTCAAATAGCAACAGTTCTTTTTGCTTCTCTTCTGTATCTTGTACGGCAGCAACAGACTCCTGTTAACAAACACAGAAATTACAGTAAGAAGCAGAGCTGAGTGCACCATATAAAACACAGGCCATGATGCATGGCCTGCAGTATAAGTATTGGTGGGCTCAAGTCATTCCAGGCAGGGAATTACTGTGTAAAGGCAAAGGGGGCACTGGTAGGATAGACGTACATAGTGCCAAGGGTATGCTCTGCAAGGGGCTGTCACAGCCTGGTTTTGCCCAGGCATTCAAACTAGTCCATGCTCAGAGTTCCACCTCTGAGTGCACTGCAGGGATTAGACAGTGAATTTCACCATGACAGCATCACCTAGACAATGTAGACATAGCCTACAGATACCAGCAAGAGCTCTCCTGACATACAACTTGTACAAAAATCTTCCTGGCTGTTTTAAATTAAGATTGAACAATTTCTAAATACCTTCGTTATCATGAATAAAAATCATTACTCTTTCAAAGAGCCATTTTGGAAATGTGATGAAAAGCCTCAGGATTCCTGACCTTTTTTCTATTCATATAGGCAATAAGAAATGTATATAAGTATTGACTACTGTTTGCAAATAAATTTAAGTGCACAGGAATCATGAACAGAGAGAAGTGATAATATACACACTTATATGCTGTAAACCACAGCTTATATACCATAAGCCTCTGCATGATACTGGTCTTTCACATACATTCAAAAGGGTTAATTATTTAAATGATATTTTTATGTTTTTCAGTCAGTAAATGACACTATGCAGTACTACACTATGAAGCAGTTTAACAAAACTCTATAATCTATACTTACCACACTGTATTTCTCATGTTTTGGCTCCAAAGCTGCATCATCATTTTTACAGTAGTCGTAACAATGACATTTTGATCTTCTTGACCTAGAAGGGTATTTCCTCTCTCCGCAATTAAGAAAAAATAAATAGAATTTAAAATGAATTTGCAGGAGCATAATAGGCTAGATTAGCTAATATAGGTTACAAAGATGCAATGGCAGATCAAATCATAAAAAAATATCTTGTATATGCAAATGAGATCAAATGTAGGCAGCATAAGTCTTTAAAGCTACCACTTTCAAAAACACAAGGTTCCTGTGAAGGGAAATATGGATAAGAACAAAAATCTGAAGAGCCAAATGTGTCCTTATACCTCATTCTCCCAAGAAAAAAAACCAACTCATGTATCCTATTTTCTGAAAATAAATAGATAAATAAAAATAAAAAAATCAGTAGTTAATAGAGTTAAAAATATCAGTGCCGGGCAACATGCAGCTCCGCAAAGCAGCAGCATTCTAATGTACAGCTTTTCCTTAAGACTACAAGGTAATCCTATGATTTACATTACAAAACCAACATACCTGTAACTTCAATAGTTTCAACAGGAAGTAGAGTGTCCATAGCACTGTAAGACTTCAGCAGTTGTTTCATTTTATCATCACAAGCTTCATCCAAAGCACTTTTCCCTGAACCATCCCTCTCACAGGGATTCGCTCCATGCTGTAGTAGAATCCTGACTGCCTATTATTATTTTATTATTATTATTATTATTATTATTATTTGTATTGTGATAATTCTTGCTGTGGATTTATAATACAACTATATGTGTTGTATCTATCATAAATCACACATAATAAAGGTACAAATAAGACACTCCAAAACCTGTTACACGTGCAATCCCAATTAAACAAACAACTTTAATTGGCTATTATCAACACAGACTTGTATCATAGACTTCTAACTTTTCCATTAAAATACATAAATAATTCACAACTTGTCATTAAACCTACCATCTTTACGGTATTGTTATACAGAGCAATTACAAAACTTCATATATCTAAATTAAAGGAACTGTATTGTATTACGACCAAAGTGCAGAGAAGTGGATTTTTTTTCTTTAAGTATTTAATAGTGGTTTTGGGTTTTGGTTACATGCACTGATGATTCTTTTCCTAATTCCAAATCACTTGCAAGTCTCCTCAATTGTAAAATGTGGAAATGAGATTAGTGGCGTCAGTGGAATCATCTACCCCCTAAAATTCAGATCATATGAAAGTGTTGATGAGGTCAGAGCCTGGATGGTAAAGAATTTTCATACATATGATTTCTCATCTTCAGCATTTCTTCTTCTTTCTTACATTCAGAGTGCTGTTAAGTATAAGAAAGTATCAGAAAAAGAATACTCTTTAGAATTTCAGAATCTTCTCCATCAGTTTTCCCCCACAATACTGAATTATAGCTTACATGTGTTCAAGAACCCGACTGATAGTTTGGCACAAGGCCTGTGAAATCATCCCCTTCATTTTATCTTTGCTCACAGAAAAGAGAAATGTGATGAGGTATCAGCTCTTCTGACAGGAATAGAAGTGGTATGATTGAGCCAATCTGGCATCACCTTTTTATGCTCAGTTCTCTGGAACTCACTGTGCCAAAACAACATTTTATTTATTTGTGTGCAGTTCTGGGCCCCACCATTTAAGAAGGATGTTGAGGTCCTTGAATGCGTCCAGAGGAGGGCAACAAAGCTGGTGAAAGGGCTGGAAGGAATGTCCTATGAGGAGCGGCTGAGGACTTTGGGTTTGTCTAGTGTGGAGAAAAGGAGGCAGAGGGGCGACCTCATTGCTCTCTACAGCTTCCTGAGGAGGGGAAATGGATAGGGAGGTGCTGAGCTCTTCTCCCTGGTATTCAGTGACAGGACACGTGGGAATGGTTCAAAGCTGCACCAGGGGAGGTTCAAGCTGGACATTAGGAAGCATTTCTTTACCGAGAGGGTGTTCAAACACTGGAACAGGCTTCCTAGAGAGGTGGTCGATGCCCCAAGCCTGTCAGTGTTTAAGAGGCATTTGGACAGTGCCCTTAACATGATGCTTTAACTTTTGCCCAGCCCTGAAGTGGTCAGGCATGGACTAGATGATCGTTGTAGGTTCCTTCCAACTGAAATAGTCTATTCTATTCTATAGAACCATAGAATGGTTTGGACTAGAAAGGACCAGTTAATGAAAAAAATGGTTGATTTTTAAACAGCAATTTTTTCTTTACAAAAAAGAAATTTTTTACAATGAGGGTGGTGAGACAGTGCAACAGGTTGCCCAGAGAAGTTGTGGATGTCCCATTTCTGGAAGTGTTCAAAGTCAGGTTGGATGGGGCTTTGGGCTAGCTGATTTAGTGAAAAATGTCCCGCCCATGGCAGGGGGATTTGACTAGGTGATCAAACTGAGAAAGCTCAATTTCAGTATTATTTTTAAAAAGCCCAATACGTGGGAGAGAGCCTTGGGGAGGTTCTGAATTTTTCTGATTTGTCCGCTGGACTGAAAGAGTCAACTAACTGTACATTTCAACTGTCACTACTGAAAAATATTTCTTTCTCTAATTTTGGTCACTTTAAAGAATATTTGTTTATTTCAATACTAATACACTAAAATTGTATTAGTAACTTTGACTTTTCTTATTTAAACCAGGATTTTGCCTTGCTGACCCTCTGCTGGAAATCAGATTCAGGAAATCTAATGTGAAAGAAAAATGTACCTCCAAATAATTGCCAGAAACAGCATCATGTATTGGCAAAATACCATCCAGACTTCTGCTGTTAACATTAGCACCAGCTTTCAGTAATTCTAAGATCACTTCAGTAAATCCTCCATTGGAAGCTTCATGAATTGCTGTCCAACCTAATAAAAGCAAGATGACACATAGAGCATGCATCTGATTTGGAAAGATCCACACAGATCACCAACCAGTGATTATACATTCTGCTGCATTTGCTGTACTATACACAACGGATTACTCTCTTTAAGATAAATCTTATACAAACAATCACCTTGAAATGTATAATAAATGTGTAATTGAGTTTACTTTAGAGAAAAATGTATCCAATATTAAGCAGAAAAATATTGTTTACTTTTCTACTAAACAGAATCATAGAATCATAGAATCATTAAGGTTGGAAGAGACCTCTAAGATCATCGAGTCCAACTGTCAACCCAACACCACCATGCCCACTAAACCATGTCCCTAAGTGCCACATCTACACATCTTTTAAATACCTCCAGGGATGGTGACTCAATCGCTTCCCTGGGCAGCCTGTTCCAATGTTTAACCACTCTTTCAGTAAAGACATTTTTCCTCACGTCCAATCTAAACCTCCCCTGGCGCAACTTGAGGCCATTTCCTCTCGTCCTTTCGCCAGTTACTTGGGAGAAGAGACCGACACCCACCTCGCTACAGCCTCCTTTCAGGTAGTTGTAGAGAGCGATGAGGTCTCCCCTCAGCCTCCTTTTCTCCAGGCTAAACAACCCCAGCTCCCTCAGCCACTCCTCACAAGACTTGTGCTCCAGACCCCTCACCAGCCTCGTTGCCCTTCTATTATAATGGGCATGCAACGAAATGAGTATAACTTGTAGATGGAGAGAGGATATAAAGAGGAAAAAGAAGAAATGTGGTCTGCTTTTGTTGTAACCATAACATTAGGTAAATTATGGAAGTGGAGGAGAAATTCTTAAGAGAGTGAGAGCAAAGATTTGAGAGAAAGCTCAGTAACATGAATTAAAAGTAAAAATAGACACCAATGTAAAATGAAGTCTGCACAGCTATTCCTTGAAGAGAAAGGGATTACCGTCACCAGAATTCCACAACTACTTTCAACTTTATCCCTCTCTGTGAGGTTAGAGTTATTAAGCTGCAGTGCATTTCTTAATGACTGGATCATATTCTAAAGTTCAGAATTACAACACAGCACAGGAAATATTTATTTCTCCAACAGAAACTTACTGAGGGTGCACTCAATCCCCTCATCCAGGTCATTGATAAAGATATTGAACAAGACCAGCCCCAAAACTGAGCCCTGGGGAACACTGCTCATGACCGGCCGCCAACTGGATTTCATTTAACACTAGTAAAAATAATAAAAGAAACAAAACAATAGAGTATATTAATAGTCTGATTTCTAATCCCAGTGGCATTTTATAATATCAAGTCTGCCAGGCATCCAGAATAGAATACCATCCATTCTGAGACCATAAAAACAGAAATGTGTTATACATTTAGGTAGAAAAAAGAAAAAAATAATCATCATCTGATTTTTGTCCTTATTTCCTAAGGAAATAAGGTTTGTGTGAATGTGCTTCACACGTTTATACCTTCATGAGTGTAAGCATTAGTTCTCCCGCCAAACTTTCAAGTCCACTTTCCATACATATCTCTGAAAATGTGCTCTTCAGCAGAGGAGCAAGACCTGATTAATACACCTACTGAGAAAAAGGCTGCATTAGCTCCATGCTGAGACACAAAATCCAGGGATTCACTGATTGTGCTTGCACTTGTTGAATGACTTCCTTTCCTCTTCACAATTATATCATAAATCAAGAATCCATAATTATATTAAAATTACACAAATTATATAAAACCATATCTACTATAAATTATATAAAATAATATCATAAAACAAGCCCATAAGAGAGTAATTTTCAAACCTGCATAGTCCTGTTCATTGACACAAATTCCAGATGATATTAGAGCTTTCACCAAAGACAAATCTCCTCTCCTAGCAGCAATATGCAGCTGAGTTTCCCCTTTCGCATTTCTCTCCTTTTTTGTCTTTCTCCTGGCTCTTGTATTACAGGTACCATGTAAAATTACAGCTTCTTTTCTGGTAGATAGGGAGGATTCTAAACACATATTGGATGTTCATTAGGAACCATGAAAAATGTTTATAAACAAAGAATTAAGCTTCATAACTCATTTGAATTAATGTAAACGTGTGCAATACTGTTGCCTTAATTATCCAATAACATTAATTGACTACATCAAAGGGTTAGAAGGTACTGCGTAACAGCTCAGGTAACAAACAGACCCTATGCAAAAGCACTTACAGTTCAAATCTAGATGACTTAACATGGGTATAATGTATTAGGGATCAACGAAAAAGGTAACAAGGTTGAAGTTTTATACTGTATAGCGGTAGGGAGTATGTTACATTTCTCCACAGATGCTTTCAAGTTACCAGGCATGCCTGCTAAATATATCAAGTACACACATAAAGATATTTAAGAAACTATATAAAAATGAAGACTTGACCATCACCTCTTTTCCATTCCTAATTCTGTATCAAGGAAGAGATAGGTTTCTACATAAGGTATTTTTACAGCTGTGATGTGAAAAAGTCCTGTAGACTGATTACAAATCTTTGATTAATGTCTAGTGACACAGCTGAACTGCCTTTTAATTAAACCTGTGCAGGATTGGACCCGTAATTGTAAATAAACTTGATTTAATCCTTCTCTTATTGGTTCACAAAGCGAACAACATCCACTTTAAGTTTTATCATAGAATCAGAAAGATCCTAATTCTGAGGCTCCAGGTAACAGACATATCAAATTGTAAGAGATACAAAGAAAAAAACAGATTAAAAAAGTACTGACTCTGAGTACAGAGTAAGGACAAGCCCCTCCCCCAAACTGCTACCAAAAAGACAAGGTGTATAAATCTTCAAAAGCTCTACCATGCATGTTAGCTTTCTTTAAACTCCTGTTCCTGCTGTTATAATACTGTGCTATCAGATTTTTTAAAAAGTTCACCGTGTTCTTTCTGATTTCTTGAAAATCTGTAATTTGTCCAAAAAAGGAAAGTACAAGCACTTTTAAAATAAGCATTTTGCAACTCTTGTCCATGGTTTTTTAATTATTCCTATGAACAATTAGTTGCTGCATGCCGAGCATTTCCTCTTCTCATCAGACAAGCTGTCTTCTCAAATATTTTCAGTTATCAGTATCCATTGCTATCAAACATCTTCCATGATTTGACAGCTGCCTTTCTCCAGGCTCTTCCTGCCTTCTGGAAAATCTGCTTTTCCAAGGTTTCCTTTAAGGTAAACTACTGAGCTTGTCATCCAAGAATGTTTGGAAGAACATGAAGACATACTGCAACTATATTAAAGACAAACATATAGTAAGAATATATCCATACTAATTTTAAACTAGCTTGTTCAGGCACCGCTGCAGCCAGACTATGGCAGCATGGAGCTCACTGTAGATTATTCTAACCTGTCAGAAAGCATTCAGGCTGCCCTCTTTGCATTGGGAGTGCTTGGCCCACATGGTATTGGCAACCAGAAGAGCTAAAGAGTTTCTTTTTTAAATGAAAACTGAGATTCTAGAGCACACAGAGGGGTCATATTATTGAAATACTCCTCCAAGCTGAGACCTGCTTTTCTGTAAGATAATGTATTGTGTTTTGTCTAAAAGCTTCTGGGTCTGAACTCCCAAAGCAATCATCTGCTTTCTGGTTCTTCCTTTTCTTCCCCTTTGATTCATGGGAGAATGTCCTAGGGACTCTTTAGAGACCTAGGAGGAAAAAAAGGCACACAACAGCCCATTAAGCTAATGACCCTTAGCAATATCGGCTGCAAGTGAACAGAAATAATTGCAAAGCTTTCCAGTTAAGTTGTCATGCACAACAGTTTTCGTCATGGTTGTTAGGAATCATTTGCAAAAGCGTAATGGGACATTGGTATGTGAATCACAAAATACTGGTTCTCCGTGGAACGCATTGCCAGGTGGGTCATGAGCAGGAAAGATCCAGAACTTGGCAAATACAAAATCCAGTCAGCACACGTACAAAGATAAAATGGCGAGATTACAGTAACCAGCAATCAGACTAGATTAGGCTGCCATACCGCAACAACTTCAAGGATATCCTCCTTCAAAAAGACATTTGAATACTTCAGCATTGCTCTGAGTAATTCATTCCACAGATTGAACTATAAGAAAAGAAGCAAGCTGTTTGTACCTTCCTTCTGTATAAGCAGAATACGAGCGTTGAGACCCTAGTAAGTGACTGACTGTAGATGAAAGTGACATTGCGTCATTTAGGAAGAAAAGATTTTTATTCAAGAATAGAATAATATAAGGAAGACCACTGGGACAAAGGAACAATTAGATGAGATACAAAAGCCAGTTAATGAAGAAAAGGCACGAGACAGCAAAAAATCTGAAAACCCCACAAGTCAGAAAACATTATCCTATCCTCCACTTTTTTCTTCTGCAATCCAAATGCCATTGTCCTGGTCTCCAAAGCTATTAATGCCTTCAACTGTATGAAGGGCTCTACTTTCTCGCATCACCTCTCAAACAGCAACATTCTCCTGGGATGAAGGAAATAATTAAATTTTAGCTGAATAAAGTATTACCTGAAGAATCTCTTTTGGGGGAAAAAGTAATCTATGAAATGCTATTCCAGAGGAGACCAAAATGTAAGACACATGTTTGGAATAAAGTTTTTTTAAAATCATAATTGTAATAGGAAGCAAAAAATATAGAGGAAAAAAATCCAAAAATGTATTAATGCACATAAACCTTATTATAAGGATTGGGCAGGAATATAGGAGCTACAAA